TAGTCTGCTTGGGAGCATGACCTTTTCCTGAACATTGTAACATCTCTAGAACTGGAACAGACCCTGACGGTCCTCTATGCTCGAGATTCGACCGGCGTGGCCAGAAGTTCTGACACATGTATACCCATGCATGGACCAAGCAACACAGAGGTCCAGCCAACTAGGTCAGTCCACTGAAATTGCCGCTGCGCAGGTTCGACAAGGTCCTGCACCTCAAAGAGAGTGACCGGCGCACAATCATTATCAATAAGTGCAAAAATGCTGCTTGGGAAACAAAAACCTTGCAGCTTCCAGGACAAAGACTCGGGCCCAATAGTATGGCACCTGGCCTAGACCTGTAGCATTATCGGCACAAATCCACAGGACTTCAGTACTCTCTTCCTGGGGGCCTGCCAGACGTCTGCGAGAGGCCCACCATGCAGCAAACGCGGGCCGTGTGGCACCGATTCAGACTTCTATTGTCGACAATTAGGTAGATCATTCGGTTTTGGGTGATGAGCTCTTTGTACAGCAACAAGGCATGTATAACTGCAGTCATATCGGGGAGGCCCCCTAGTGGTTCATCTATGCTGTATCCAACATCTTTATTGGGCGGCTGTGAACGAACATCAGCCAAAACAACCGTCGGCTGGGCTGCATCTAGACCGAAAGGACCACTGATCTGATCCGACATGGCCAGTGCACTGTATGCATCTTTAGCATATGGGTCAGTGGCAAGGCTACCATGTGCGAAAAGGATGCGATCAGCTTTTGATATCCAATCTACGGTCGCATGCGAGTGTGCCACCGGCTTCGGGATCTCTGCATCCATGCCATCATTGAGGGTTATCTTGCATATTTGCTTGTCCGCCTGCTGAAGCAGGAATCGAGGACGAATGCCAGGGAACCGTGAGCATCTCTTGCACCTAGTTCGAAAAAACAAGTACCAGATCCGCCAACTGAGGAACTGGGGGCAGGAACTGGGACAGGGAACTGGGCAGGGAACTGGGGGCAGCAAACTGGGGACAGGGACCTTGGGACAGGGAACTGGGGACAGGGAAATGGGGAGAGGGACTGGGGGCAGCAAACTGGGGACAGGGAACTGGGGGACAGGGGACTGGGACAGGGAACTGGGAACTTGGGACAGGGAACTGGGGCAGGGACCTGGGGATGGGGAACTGGGGGCATGGAACTGGGACAGGGAACTGGGGACAGGGAATTGGGGGCAGGGAAGTGGGGGCATCAAACTGGGGACAGGACTTGGGACAGGGAACTGGGGACAATGTCGTCTTCCAGTTCATCAAAGCAGCTGTACTCTGCCACATCAATGGGCATGTGGATTGTATCCCCGCTAGTGTGATGAGCGTGAGTAGGCAGGATGCGCCATCTGTCGCTTCACGAGGGGTGCCCAGCTGGCTCGACTCGTGCAACAAATATCTGGTTTCTTCTGAGCACAAGCAAGAACACAAGATTTGCCTCAGAGCCCTCCGAATCTCTGTCCGCCCCTTCGGAAAAGAAGTCAGACTCTGGCTTTCAGAACTCAAAAGATGATTGACTCAACCTCCCAGACGTTAAACTCCAAGGAAAAGAAAACAAACTCCTCCTCCCCCTCTCAAGCGTTTTCGACCCTGGCTCAAATGGCAAAACAGGAAAAAACAGGCTCATTTCCACAAAAACGAAACAAACAACACACATGCGAAAACGACTGCAAGAGCCAGGCTGAGTGCACATCACAGGTCATGCCTGGTCTGCCAGTGCTCCGTTTTGGGTTCACCATCGTTTTGCACGTTGTACGTGGTGTGCTGTGGCCTGGGTCTCTCTGATCTCTCCACCTGAGGGACCTCACCTTGTCAACCTCCATGGGAGCTGGACCTTTGGTTTGGCCTCAACGTTTGGTTTGACCTGGTTTGGAACAAATCAACCTTCAACCACCAAGCGTGTTCACAATTCCAAGTGGAAAAAACTGACCACTTCCATTCTCAAGGACTCGTGCCCCAGTCGAGTCACCAAACCTGCTCAGGCAAGACACAGCAGCTGATCACATTCAGCTTGATTCGAGCTCTACTGCTGGGCATGACCACTTTTCCAACACCCTGCATTGGGAAGAACATGCACGAAAGGCAGCCGAGGACACCTAGAGTTTGTCTTGATAGTTTAATTCCCCTGATTTCTCAACACAGAGCCCCCCTCCGCCCTCCGGGGAATTGATCCCTCCCTCCCCTCTAAATTAAATTCTCTCCTGGAGAACGTCTTCGTGAGCCTCTCATAATTTCAGGACAGTTGAAACCCTCTTGAACATTCAGAGTGCACATGAAATTCCAATCACGAAAGGTGTTCCCAGAGGGGACACACACCTAGAGTCTCCCGGGGAACGTCTTCGTGAGCCTCTTATGGTTTCAGGACAGTTCAAATCCTATGATGCTCCGGTTCAATGCTCACCGATGATCTGAGCTGTGGGGCAAGATTGTTTTCCTAAGAATCTTTTTGAACATTTCGAGAAGCATATGTTTGAACATTGGAGTGCATATGAAATTTGTTTACGAAAGGTCGCCTCCGAGGCGATAAATACCCAGAGTTTGTTTTGTGAAACAAGTGTGGGTCGGATTTCTCCCTAGAGCTTTGGAACAATGACTCCATCTAGCCTCCCCTGCATTGTCGTTTGGGGCATCACCATGTCGAACATTGCATTTTTGTTCCTGCCTCTCGTGTTCTCTTCTCTTCTCGCTGTCCTACTTTCGTGTCTCCCTCCTCAAGTCCCCTGCACCTCTCAGGATTGGAGCTGAGCTTTAACCATTCCTCAGCAACAATGTGACAAGCGGCACCTGACTCAAGCCAATGGGTCTTGATCCTTTCCATGCCCTGAGTGCTCAACAAGTTCTTAAAGAAATGAGTGACACTGTGAACTACAGTCCCGGAACAGCACTAGAAACCTCTCCAAGCTTGCACCTGACAACCATGACCACTTGACCCTCTTCAGTCTTAGGTTCTTCAGGTCAAACTCTTCCCACTCAGCTTCTTCCCAGTCACCTTCGTCACCCTCAACCTCACGAAGCTTGCCTTTCTTGCCCTTGCCCTTGCTCTTACGTGTCCTCTTTCCTTGCCCTTTGAAGGAGAAAACTTTTTGCCAGAATCTGCTACAGACCCTCAGCAGTGTACTTCAAGACAAGCTCTCTGTTGTTCAGGGCCTGCCTGCTGTAAATCGAGAACTCACGTCGAATCAGCGTCAGGAATGGACTTGAAAGAAGTCAATCTCTGTCAGTACATGTCTGAGGGATCCTTGCTTCGTTCCTTGTTAGCTTTGGTTTTGGCGTGCATGTTGACTTGAGTTGTTGCGCGCATGGTTGATTGGAAGCTTGGTTTTCCAAACGAATGAGAAGAGAAAGAAGACAGAAGAATGGAATGTATAGACAGAGGAATAGCTGCAAGCATGTAGTGACCCAAGAAGGGGTGTGAGCAGTATGGCTCCCTACATGTAGCTATGTATAGTGATTTTAAATTTGATTTTGCCATAGGAGTGGTGCCTCTTTGTGTTTTGGGTTCCTTCTTGTTGTTTGGTTGTGGGAGAGTCTCAACCAGAGTGGTTTTGGTGACTTCTCAGCTGTTTTTTGTACTTACACAATTTTCTTAGTCTTTGGACTGTGTAGCTCACGAGTCAAAGACTTGTGACTTGTTTTGGCCACGTGAACATTTTGCTGAAAGCCTCAATGCTGGGCTTTTGGCTCACGAGCGGGACTGAGAAAAGGACTGCTGCGCTGTCCGTGTGTTTTCACAGTCATGAAAAGTCGACTTAGGCCACCAAAGCTTGACTTGCGGATTTCTTCACGACATAGCGCCGGGCTCTTGCGTATGTTGCGACGCAAGGTCACTTCCGGGCTCTGCCAAGCAATGCGCCGTTGCACTTGCACGCGCTGACTCAGTGACTGTTGTGTTTGCCAATTGCAATTGTGACAGCCACTTCGCAAAGCGAGCTCGTTGTTGTTGTTGTTGTTGTTGTTGTTGTTGTTGGCATAATGGCAATTGTGCAATGACCACCGGACTTGCTGGTGGAGATGAAAAATGTGCGGTGCGAGTTTGGCAAAGTCGCCAGACCCATATGTGACTCAGGGAGATTCATGAAGGCTTGTATATGGGGGCCTCAACCTTGAGGATCTGCCAGACCTCCAAGAGCACCAAGTCAGGTGCTCATTCAGGTCTCGGGTCTCGAGTCAATTATTCTGACGCGTGAGTTGCGTTTTTGTTCCTGATGTTTGCTGGGGTCTCTTGGCGGGATACATAGTATTTTGTGGATTGCGTTGGTTTCGGCTCGCGCGGCGACGGCTTGTTGCAGCGTCAATGAAATTCCACCACACTGGGGGCGCAACAAGCACACATTATTGCAAGCTGAAAGACAGGACAAATGACTTTTGCTGATGCGGGGTGGGAACATTTCTGACCGATTTATGATTTGTATTTGATGGCAAAATCGTTCCACGTCGTGTGTCCAAAGAGATTGTCCTCCAGTGCATCGGGCTTTCAAAATCGTGGCAAACATTTCCAGGTTAGGCATATTTCTTGAATGCTCATGTGTCAAGCTTGGTCTCACCGACACAGAACCCCAGCCCTCAGTGGCCCTAGTGGCTCGAGACCTGAATGTCCATCAGCGGTCCGCCGTTTTCGCAGTACTTGTGGCAATGTGCTCAAAGTCCTGAGGAAAAACCTGGCACATTCTTTCCTGATTGGGCTTACAATCTGAAGGCCTTCATTCCAGGTGCATGTCGAAGATGATCGATGATCTTGTTGACATGAGGGGTCCGTGCAGTTGGGTGTTCATTGTGCTGATTTCTTTCAATCAGGGAACGTTGTCTTTCATGGTTTGAAACAATCCCAGTGTCAATAGCAAAGAATTTCAGTGCATCGTTTGAGCAGGTGCAATTGTTGCTGTGGACAAGCGAAGCAACCTCAAGCATTGTCATGCAACTGTGGTAACAGACATCTCGCTCTGTTGTGGCTTGGGAGAAGATGAGTTATGCAAGGCTCTTTCAACCTTCAAGCATCCACGGTCGCTTGTTTGAAGAGTGGTATATAGGTCCTCAGTGGTGTATGTTCCAGCAAATTTGAAGCATGTACAAAACTTAATTTTTTGAGTGAGTCCATGTGCGATCGTTCACTCACACCTTTCGGATGGATCGTCCCCTTGCCGAGGGCGTGTTTTGACACGACCTCGCGAACACCATAAAAACCAAAAGCCTCAGGAAGAGGTTCGATAAACAGGAGGGAAACCCAGTTTCTTTCGCATTTTGAAACGATTTTCTCATAATCTCACCAATTGGCCCAGTCCGGTCCCATCCCTCCCAGGCGAGAAGGGGAATGGATGGGAGATGACCCGGGGCGCCTCCTACTTGAGTTTTCTGAAGCAGTCCGTGGGTACATCTCTGTCTCGCGCTTGACCCGTGTCCTTCCCTGCTCACCTGCACGTGTGCTCATTGTGAACGAGACGGTGAGTTATCGTCGGCTGGCCAAAACGCAAGTTGGAAAGGCCCAAAGTGAGGGATCTCGATGAAAAGAGCAAAAGGAGTTCACCAGAACAACTTACATACTTTAGGCATGTAAAATTTGTGGAAGTTGAAGTATGATGAACTGACAAATGCTCCCTTTCTTCTTTTTCTTTGACCAGGATTCATTGTCAAGATTGGAGAACTCTTCAGACTTGTCAGGTCGATGGAGTTCTGGAGATCGGCTCTTCCTTTGGAGTGGCTTGGAAGAGCAGTTGCAGTGCATTGTAGCTCAGGCGTCACGATGAAAGACCCTGGAAAGAGGATCTGCAGATCTGGATTGATGTAGAATCAGGCCAAATGGGAGGATCTTTCTCTGAGGCTGAAATCAAGATTCCAAGAAGGTGCCACAAGAAAACTGACTTGCGGTTGCGGTGGTTGAAGTGCTTATTTAAAGCCTTACTTCAATCTGAGGAATGTACCCAGATTTTGACAAAACATGCTGCAGCCGTGATTGGAATTGACAACAGTCAGGAACTGGTCGAGGAGCGCTTGTTGATTTTTTCCATAACATTGAGTTTGCACACTTGCTTTTGGGAGAGTCAGCGTTTATTGAGAGGAGAGCCGCCGAAGATATCCGTTCTGCAGAATTGAGCTATTGAACTGCTTCCAAGACCCGTTGCAGCTGCAACGGTTGTGCAGCCAGCCCTTTAGTCGGAGTAAAGGGCTTTCTTTACGTTTTTTAAATTTGTCTCTTCTGCTCCCTCATTCTCATGCATTGGTTTACTTGCAATTGGTTTGCTTGAAGCCATCCTCTACCCAAGAGCAGCCTCAAGGCTTGCCAGCCACCAGTACATTTTTGTATGTTGGAGGCTCCCAGCCTGCTCTGCAGGTTACAAGACAGATGCGAGAACTTCAAGATTTTTGTAGATATTGGAGGTGAAAGGAGCTCCACGGCTGTCTGCCGGATTCTGGTACTGTTGGATGAGGTTGTCAGGGGCTCGCTCTGTGCACCCTGCTTGGTGGTGGTGAAGTGCAAGAGTTTGTCTGCGGCAGCCGCTGCCTCTTGTGATGAAAGAGCTACGATTTGTATCCTGGGCCTGAAACGCCAAACCTTTTTGCTCATCACCCTTTGTTAAAGCCAGTTGGAGGGTATTTTTCAGACCCGAGGCAACCTTTTGGATTGGTGGCATAGGTGCGCAGCTCCCACGAGCACACGGCAACAACGAAAATGGGGGATTAGTCGCGAACATGGTTAGCTTGCTGCTTTTGCTGCTTGCTGATACGGCGGCATGCCAGCCAATTCATCCTTATACGTGTGAAATGCTCATGGGTTTTTCCCTCAATGTCCTTGCACCGTGTAAAGTGGGAGCCCCAGGGCTCAGATGGTTGGGTCTGTGCCAGCAGAAATCATCCATCACGTCAGGGAGGAGAAAAGATTGAAGTTGTGATACTCTCATGAGCGAACATGCAGGCCATGCTGGAATTATTACAGTTCGTTTGTCAAGTCTTCCTACACCAACGTATCATGTGTGTGAGCAGGACAACTCTTCAGACGTATAAACATGGTTTGACACAGAAGAGAATGGATCTACTTTGCTGGTGCAACATAAGTGTGACCGTCTCCTCTCGCCGCTGTCCGAAATCAAGATCATACATAAGATGCACGTTTCACAAGGGAGAATCGGATGTAGCCAACAGCTTGCGTGTCACTCCCAAGCAACTGTTCTGTGTCACTCCCAAGCCACCAACGCATCGTGCTTGTGAATGGCAATGTCCAGGGCTTATTGAACCATAAACTGACAGAAGAAGCGCGCGAATTCGCCCACGGGCCTTGCGAACATGGGAACTGGAGCCAGTGTCGGCAATGTCATGGGGGCCTTCAGGTGAGTTCAGAGCGATTCGAAGGGCGCTGGTCATGACTGAACGAAGCTTTGAAGGGGAAATGCATACTTTTAGAGATATGCCGTTCAGAATGGTCGCGAATACGACATGAAACATGGATGCAGGGAGAAAAGGGCATCAGACGTCGGTTCGGAGTCGTGTTCGATGTCCTGTTCGACCAGGATGGCCTCGATGAGCAAAGCCGTCTCATCCTTTAGCCGATGGTCGGGGTCCTCAAGCGAAGGGGAACCTGGCGAAGCGGTTTTTCAGCGAACAGTTCGTGTACATATGGAAGGAACAATGGGCATTTTCTCAAGAACTGTATAGTTTTGTATGTGTTGTGCATGTGACGGTACACTATGTGCCACGGTGACAGGACACTTCGTCGAAGTGGGTTTTCCAGGGGATGGCCATCCACTTCTGAGAGGCACTTTTATACAACCCCACTGGTACCACTGGGCCCTTGGTACAGGCAGTTAAACTCCACAAGAAGTTTTGATGATATGAGGAACATCATAGACATAGATCAATTTGAGCATCTCATCAGAGCTGTCTCTCAATGTGACTCGTCTGGCAAAAAGATCTGGGATCAATTGACACTCAGGAACAATGCGCGGAATGAACAGCCAGACTCCGAGCTGATCAAGGCACAGGTGGAGGCAGGTCCCTGCGGTCCTTGGTCAATGCTGGGGGGAGAGACTCTCGGAGAGACCGATTCTTTTTGATCCCTGAACACCTTTGAGAAGAGTTCCTGAACGAGCATGCCAACGCCTGAGTAGTTTAGCTGATTCTTCGGAAACTCTCACCGTAGGGTTTCCATGCTCCCAGACCCAAATGCTCTTTTCAGGCACCCTTGACGATCATCGATCTCACTGGCATCGAGAACCCTGGGTAAGCGCCCAAGTCGCAGAGGATTGCTCGACGAAAAGCTGCACTCGACGGTCGTGGATGGTCGCCGATCGTCGACGCCCGATCCGTTTCGTGGGGATCCGGTCGGATGTACACCAGGTACATTGCCGACGTGTACATCTTTGCGGATGGCTTGATCGGACGATCTGTGTGTTCGATGGTGCCGTGCCAAGCCGTCGTCTTGCATCGATGGAAACGCGCGTCGGACCGGCGGACCGAGACCCGACAATCAACTCACAAGCAGCTGGGGGTCTCCAGAGCGATCAAGCAGCCAGGAACTCAGCGGCCGCAAGAAACCACCTTGCGAGAGAGGAACTGCAAGGGTAGGTCGGGTGCCTGTACAACTTGAAGCACTCACTGTCTTCTATCTGTCTCTCTCCCTCTCTCTCACACCGATTCTCTTTCTTGCAAGACAACGGGCAACACACAATGGCTCACTCTTTTTCACGGTGTGGGCGTCGCAATCATGGTGAGACATTGAGAAGCTGCAGAGGTCTTCCATCTCAAACTTGCTCAGGTATATCTTGGGGATGCCTTCGGTAGACATTGAAGCACTCAAAAGAGAGGCGGGCTTGGCCTTTTTGGGCACAGCCTAAAACAGGCATGTGAACACAGCCTTTTCGTTTGCGAAGGTGATGCTGCTCAAGGATGTTCGCGCTCACCCGAACATCGTCAGGCACGCCAAACATCGCAGCCAGAGGTCCACAAAAGCTGTTTCGAAGAGCGAGTGCATGACACCTTCAGGATGCATGAGACCTTCAAGGACAAGCTGCATTTCTATGTGGTGTTCGAGTGCTGAACTCAGAGCTTTTCACCTGGTGGTTGGCCATGTCTCTCCTCCCCAACACTCATGGCAGCCAAAACCACCTGCACACACCCGATTAGATAGTAGATTGACTCTTCGGGGGTCTCCGAAGAGTCTCCGGTGTTGGCGAGCAGCCTTTTTCGAGAGTTGGGACGTTTCTGTTTCAGGCTGTGCGAGGGTCTGCGGGTCTTTGACTACATCATGGATGCCGAGACACACACAGAGCAGGACGGTCAACTCAGATTGCACATCTCAGCTTGGTGGGGAAATCTCCCGAGTCATGGAGTCGGGGATTGGTTCGTCATGGAGTCTCATAGATGCATCACATGCAGTGGCCGCCCAGTGGCCCCCTTTTTGGAATGGGCAGTGCATCCGGTCCTACACATAGGGAACAATGGAAGCACACACACACATGTTTCTATTGGTATGACCAATAGGAAATACAAAAGAATTCTATTGGTATGATTATGATTCCACCTGGAGGCTAGTGCCCCTTTTAGTGACTTTCATGAGTCGTGCGCTTCGGACTGCCCCGACAACAACTCCAGCTGAGCATCTCAAAAGGTGGATTGTTGACCTCAGGAAACAGCCAACGTGGTCCAGCAGGTGGTGGCGTACGCTCCTCAGAGCCAGAGTGGTGGAGTGCTTTTGATGCCCAGCCAATGCGACCCTGGGCAGGGGAGTCGACTACATGCACAGCCGGCTCATCTGCCACCGTGACATCAAGCCGGAGCATGCTTTGGTCTCAGGAGCGTTTTTATTGGATCAGTGGACCTGGCCGGACAGAGGGACAGACACAGAGTCTAGATCTGCCTGGCACGGGCAGGTCCCTTCAGTTCTGCCATGTTCTGCCTTGAGGTGCTCTTGAAGGAGAAGGGGAGCTTGACGAATTGTCAAGCCAAGGCATTTCTGCTGGGCTAGCCTAGTCTAGACCCTTCACAAGTGAGAGAATCAGATGCTTTGTGGCTTGACATTGAACTTTGAGTGGCATCAATAGGCTACGGCTGGAGTTGGCGAATATGCATGGAAGCAGACAAGGGTGTAAGCTGTAGATGAGCTCGTTGTCTGTGTGCAGATCATTGACTTCAAGACCGCGAGCGAGTTTGTGGCTCCTGGCTATGTGTGGAGCCAAGCTGTAGGCTTTCTTTTTAGTACGCAGCACAACGCTAAGCTGTGGGCCTTCTGAACCAACAACCCGACCAGGATGGGGGGATCTGATGCATTTCGCTGGAGTCCTCCAGGTGTTCACGCGGCCACTTTCTGAATTCTCAGGTGTTCACAGAGCGGGCTGGTACACCCTATTACTGCTCTCCCCAGGCTGGTTGGAACCTGGAGACCAGATGGCAAGGGGTGTTTGAGACATGCCAATGGCCTTCAGTGGCCTTGGTTCCAGGCAAGGTGTATGAACGCCGGTTGGGGCTCCTTGTTTTGAGAAAACCCGTGTGCTAAGCCTTGCCCCCTGGAAGAACTAGCATTGTGTTGGACACCTGTTTTCTGTGCTGGGAGTGTGAACGTCCCTTGGACTCTTTGTGTTGCGATCTCTTCCTACGGATGGCCAAGCCGAAGCTTGGGCAGTTTGAAGCCCCTTTCTCCAGGTGTATCAAGGCAGATACACGGAGTCGTGTGATCTTTGGCCACGGTCTTAGTTCTCGAGTGCAGAAATTGATAGAAAGAGCTCGAACTCCCCTGCAGCCACTTTGAAGAGTGATCGATTGGTCACATTGGTCAATTTATGTCAGGGAATTTGCGCAGCATGTTCCGGTGGGTCTTTGAGGACTTGCGGAGTTCTGGCCTACCTCATGCTGATTGGCTATCCAGAAGCCGACCAGAGGCAGTGGGACGTTTGCTATTTACCATCATTTGCTTGGCGGAATGTCACTAAGGCCACACATGAAAAGAGGGTCGAGCTACTATTCGGTTGGCGAGTCGAGTTGTTGCCCATGTCCCCCTTGATGCTGTGGGCACACATAGAGTCAGGAGTCGTTTCTTCAATTTGGCATCCTTCTTTTGGAGACAGGAGTCGTGCTTGGGACAGTCCAGACACACGAGGGCCAATTCGCCAGGCAGTTGGAGTCCAAAGGCCCCACACGAGGGAAGGATGTGCCAGGTACTCGGCATTCGAGGTGTGATTTGCATCGGTACTCCTTGGTGTGTTCTTGGACACACTAGGGCCCCCCCTGACCCAACTGATAGCACTGTTACTTCAGGAAAGCCAAGCGACAAAGCATTGGTTAAGTTGCCTCCCATTTTGAGACAAAGCCTTTTGTTAGTCATCCCACAGATGTTGCAAGGGCTGGCCCCGTAGAGTTTCACTTTGTCATCCGACTGGAGTTCCGAGCCGTTCAACAGTTCCAATGTGCAAAGGGTTAGCAGGTTCCTTGGTCCTGGTATGGAGTGAGATGTAAGTCATGTGAGATGATTGATAACGTTGTCGTTCTCCACTCAGTAGCGCTGATGTGATTGTTTGAGCCTAACGTTGCTTTTACGCCTTCACGCCTTCAGAAGGGTTGGAGTCTTTGTATACCAAGGCTGGAACTCCTACCTTACCGCCTGGAATTCAGCCCCTCAGCCGGGATCTCAAAGATCTCAGTCGGCCCACAGGCCACCTGATCCTAGGCTCGAGGCAAGACGAGACCTGGATATGGCTTTTGAAGAACGATTGTTTGTGAAGTGGTACCTTTTTGAGTTCCGAGCGCAAGCACGGATCACAAGGTCGGCGTGGAGTCCAGAGTTTGTGCTAGGACGTCCACTGTAGAACTCAGAGTGACAAACTAGGAGGCTTGTGACATACGTACGCTGTAGCTATAGTAGTAGTAGTAGTAGTAGTAGTAGTAGTAGTAGTAGTAGTAGTAGTAGTAGTAGGAGTAGCAGTAGCAGTAGCAGGAGCAGGAGCAGGAGCAGGAGCAGCAGCAGCAGTAGTAGCAGTAGGAGGAAAAGGTGAGAGCTCGCAAAGGATGGGGGCCCTTCGTCTGGAAGACCCAACTCACATTACACCCATCTTCGTCTCTTGACACCTGAGGATTGGGCGGATTTGTCGCCCGGGGTGAACCAGTTCTTGTCGCGTCTGCTGGCGGACCGCTGACCGTGTTGCCGAGCTGAAATCAACCGACACTGCCTCCAAAGCCCTGCGCCGTTCGGACTGGGGACGCTTCTCGGTCGCCAGGACCGCGAGACAGACCGCTGGCCTGCCAAGGCGGCGGCGAAGAGCGAGTGGCTCATGCGCCAGGCGCTTCTGAAGTCACTGTCACCTCGAGGACGGACCATCATTGCTAAGTTAAGTAAGAGAGATACGTGATATAAGTTTCCCCCAAAATCTAGGAACCAAATCATTAGTGCGATCGCTTCTTCAAGGAACTAGGGCGGCGGGGGGAGCTTCCTGGAAGAAGCGGGAACTATTTGCGTCGTAAGTAGTAGCTACTTAAGCTACTAGCTACCTTTTCTAGCTACCTAGCTTCTCCTAGCTACCTCGGCCCACCCCGCCCGAGCCAAAACAAAAAGGAATTCATCAGTCCAACTATCCAACATTTTCTCTCAATTTCTGGAGTGTTCGGTGCAAACCAGGAAGATGTAAGAAGTGCATACCGGTTTTCGGGATGTTTGAGACTTTTTGGTTGGTGTGGAAAAGACCAGGGCCTCAGGACACTCAGTTGGTCCAGAAGCGAAGTCGCTCTTCTTTGTAGATGTGGGAGAATGGCAGGATTCTTTTGAAGGGTTGAGCACACTCTTCCGGCCATGTTCTCTTCCACTTGATGGAATGCAACCCACTGGTTTCAGAGGAACTCTTGAGGAACATGGTGTGCTCTCTTGTTTCTTTTGCAGCAATATGGACTGAGTTGAGCCCTTTGGCCTAGCCAGGTCACCAGGGCTTGAAAGTTAAGAACCATTGCCGACTTTAAAGCAGGCCAATTGACACAAGACTTGTTCACTTCGTTTCAAGACCTCAGAAGTCATTCTCCCGCGGGCCCAAGGTCAAAGGTCGGATGAGCGTCGCCCGAAACATTTCACCTCCGAACCGAGATTCCCGCGTTCCCCGGTCGCAGCACGTCGCGCTCGCTCGCCAGTTGGAAGGCTCAGGGACCTGGCGAGTTGATTCAGTGTCTCTTTTGCCAATAGGAGCAAGGACGGGCATTGCTACTAGGAGCAAGGACGCTACTAGTAGCTCCTGGCCTTACTACAAGGAACAAGAAGCTACTAGGAACAAGGGCATTTCTATTAGGAGCAAGGAGCTGTAAGATTTATCAACACACGGCAGGGCATGGCTAAACAGGCCTTTTTTCCGATCACTCGCACCAATTTGCTCTACCAGCTATGCCGAGCCTACCATCATCCCTGGCTGATTCGAAGATGGGAATGCCTATGACAGCAGGTGGCATACCATTTATGTGCTACAAGGTACAGCGCATCGCGCGCCTAGCACAGCCGGCGCCCGAAGGCGGGCAACCTTTGCTGCTCAGCCTACCGCCTGGTCCACCTGCCGGGGGATTGGGCCTGAATGATGCTCCTGCGGACGGTGGTGCACCCGGGAGTGCTGCGTACTATGGGGTTTGGCCCAGTTGCAGTCCGGCAGAGGCACAACTTGCGATGGACCTCCTGAGACCTTGGCGACAGCCAACAGCGACGTGGAAGAGGCCAAAAGCCACGAGCCAAGACCTCTATGACTTCTTGTGAGTTCCGGACCTAGAATGTTCTGACCAATTTCGACCCCAAAGCCGCTGCTCTGGAAGAAGAGAGCGGAAACAGGCTTCTGTTTGACCGACTAAGTGGTTTTCGGTTCGGTGAGGAAAAGCCTCACTGGCGGATGCGCTCGGTGTGGTGCAAAACCAGTGGACAAGGGCCCCCCCGGCGGCATGAAGAGCATAGGTTTCCACCGTGCAAGTTCCTCAGTGGACGACCACTTTCCTCGAGACTTGGCACGTTCGGTGTTTGTTCAATTCTACTTGTAGAATTGAAACGAGCAGGAACATCCTATACAGACAAACAGCATCCTAGCAATTGGGCTGTTGCAATTCATAATGGCCGTGCCCATTTTTGCTTCCAGTGAGTTGAAACTGGAGGCTCCGCAGCCGCTGGGCACTCGAGTGCAAGTGGCAGGCCCACCTGCGCAAATGGAAGAACATGGGAGGGATGGGAGGGGAAGCCTTCTGAAGGAAGATGTCCACCGCCTGAGATGACAAATGCAGAACCTCTTCGAATCCTTTTGCTGGTGAACTGATGTCCGGGGTTTGTCGAAATCAACAGGACATGAGCAGCGTGGAATCTGCTTCGCTACAGATTCGGGGATGGCAAGCTGCAGATGAGACCCGATCTCTTTGAGATGGCTTTCCGGTTGTTCCAGTTGGTCGTCTAAGACCCAGAGTTGGTGGAAGATTGTCCTCCAACAAGGATCATGACCGGTTGTCTTTCTCATGACCGGTTGGTGGGTGAGCCTCTGAACTCTCTGAACAGGACCGCAGGGAGACCTCCAATCCCAATCCCCAACTCCGCCAACCTCCAGGGTGAGCAATCCGTCTGCAGCTTCGGCTTGCCAGAACGGTCGTCCGTTCAATCCTGACGACCAAGCCGTCCGGGACGTTCGACGTCTCTGGGGTCGATGTCGCGTCCTTCGTCCGGGCGACGCGGCGTCACTCAGGCGATGCGATCGGGCTGGAGAAGCTGAGAACCTCTCAATTCGCAGAGGTGCTGAGCCAGCGGCGTGGCTTGAGCGGGAGAGAGGGAGGGAAATGGAGGGTGCCAACCTCCAAGTCTTAGACAGGTGGGAAGAAGGTGTCTCTTTGCGGGTGCAAAGTGAAGCAGGTGCTTTTCTTGAGGCGTTCAGTGAAAGGATCTGAGCATTCAGGGCTGATTTTTGGATGATTCCGGCAACTGAGGCGATATTTAGGAAATGGTTCAGGGTGTCAAGTTCTGGGCTTAGGGCTCAGACACCTGGAGGGACGGATACTTTGATTCTTCGTTTATCGAGTACCGGAGAAGCCCTTTCTGGTTGATTGGCTCGCGGATTGCTTGATCTACTTAAACAAATTGTGGAATTGGCACATTTTCATCATGTCCTGGGTCTGACCGCCCAGTGTTTGCACCGCCAAAAAAGAGGGCCGTGCCTCGGTCTCGTCGGTCTCTCATGTCGTGTCTCACAGACCGGACTTCCACTTCCCTGGTCGCTGCCCAGTCGGAGTCCGGATGCCCCCGGGCGACGTGAGCTCCGCCTCTTTGTTCGGTGGCGGCTCCCGAGGCGTCGGAAGAAGGATGAGCACAAGGAGGAGCTCTTTCCCTCAAAGGTTCGCTCTGGTGGTCGGGATGTTGGTGGTCCGCTTGGATGTGGGTGGTCATGGGGTGGTCCAAAACGCTCTTCTTCCAACCTTGAAATCGAAGACCGCAAGATCTGGATGGATTTGGTTCCAAAAGAGAGGAGCATGAGTGTGGTCATCCTTTAGTCGGACTAGGGAATTTCACCCAGATCGAGCAGCAAAGGGAACACATTGTTGGAGTATTCTATGTTCTGCTGGTTTGGAATTTTTGAGTGTTCCAACTTCTTTGTCTCGTTGGCAGGACGGATCAGATAAGATCACTTCGTAGGTGACTTTTGCCGCGATTGGGTCCGCATGACTGGCTCTGTGAGGTCGTGACCGGCTTGGGGGGGCTTTCACTCGGTGGCTCCGCGAGGTGCAAGAGACGAAGCACTTCAAGGTCTGAGACGGAAGCGCGAGCTCAGAGCTCGGTGCTCGGTGCTCGAGCGGTGGTCGCTCCCGTCTTCGTGCGGCGCATGGGAGCTTTTTGGATTTCAAGCAACCAGTGGTGATGGTCCAAGGTGGTCCGTGTTGGTTGTCTGGACGATATACAGTAGATACGTTTGCTGATCCAAGATGTTCCCACAGCCAATTGTCCCATAGCTCGTGAAGGGGTCCCGTCTCACATGTGGAAAGAATCTGCCAAGCAGACCTTCTGAGACGAGCAGACCTGCCCCCCTCCATGAAATCAAGGAAGTCAAGATAGGGACGAGCAATTTGAAGAGTCCAAGCATCCAGAGTTGTACTAGAGTGTTGTTCAAAGCTGCTCCAAGAGCAATGGCTGTTAGCGGCTGTTGGTGTCTTTGGTGTTTTGTCACTGGACTGGCCTGGCACGGAGCTTGCTTGCTGCCGTTGCTGCCCGTTGCATCTTTCACGTAGCTGGCCCAAGCTTTGCTCGCTTTGCACGATGCAGAGCTGACCAGCTAGTCTCAGAGTCTGCAGGCGCGGCAGATGGGGGGTCGCAACTTCATTTCCATACCCTTTTCTGGTCCGGTCTACAGTCTACATGCAATGGTGGGTAAGGATGAAAATGGCCGCAAAAGGCAACAGCAAAACTTCACTGAGCTACGACCAAGCTACACATCAAATCGCTCGATTTTCTCAGACCGAATGCATGGCGAATGCCATGGCATTTCCGGCTGCCCCAATGGCCGACCGGTCCTGCGTCGATCCGTCGGTTCCGTTGGCCACCGCGAGGCACCAACGGTCATGGAGTCGCGCACTCTCAGCACGAACTCCGAGGCCACGAGGGCGGGGAAGCAGGACCGAAAGCCAGGCCAGCACCGGTGTGCGAGGCTGGTCTGGAGGACATGGCGACATTGATCGAATTGGATGGGTTTCAAGGGTCCGGGGCAGGTTTTGCGGCCAGCAGCGGGAAAACTCGTAATGACTACGGGCTACGGCGCCTACGGGTCCAAAACTCATTACCACAAGCACCATAGTTCACATAAATGCATGCTTGGAATGTTCACCATCGCTACCTGATTGAGTTTCACTCAGTTGAAGAGTGAAGCGGAGCACTGATTTGATTTGATCTGAAGACCTGATCTGTATAACCCCAACCGGTGGAAGATGAAGAATTTGCCGAACTTCTTTTCCAGATGACGTGGATCACCAGTTGCAGAAGAATCGAACCTACAGGATGTTCGTCGCTTTTTTCATTTGACCTCCCTCAAATGAGGCAGATCTTTGGTTAAACATCTGTAGACCCTGGACCCCTCTGACACCCCGAAGGCACCCGATGTTTGGCTTTTTGACCTTTGAAGGATGAGGCATCCACCTCGAAGTGCTTCCCCATCGAGTCCAGCACTTGGTCGACCGTTGAAGAAAGGATCCCCGACCGGCTCGTTGACCGGCTCGGTTCGACGGCTTTCAGTTGAAGCAAGAACTGTCCGAGCATGCCTCTTTCGCGACCAAACCACAACCATACCACAGCTATTTCCACTTTCTGGCATGTCTGGTTCCGAATGCTGAAATAACAATGAAGACACGGAACCAGACGATCGTTCTTGCTCTTGACTGTAACCCACCGTTCTGTACACATCCACATTCCTATTGCCTACCTTGGAGCATCATAGAGCCTACTATTCCCACTGTGCCTTGTTCTGAACTCTCCTTTGAACCAAGGTGTGAAACTCAGGATAAGGTTTGGCGGTCTCTTCGACAAGGGCGCACACTTAATACTCCCACCACAGTGAAATGCCCCAGTGAACGCATAGTTCTTCTGTAGATATGTACTAGAATACCCCTCCTGGGACTCCTGAGGGTAATGGGGTGAGTAGTGTGCGGACTAGAGCACAAGATCGAGTACCCCAAACTATGGTCGACATGTGCATGTGTTTCGTAAAACTGATCGTCTACCAATTTTCGCCCATGATGGGTAACGGGTGAGTAGATTGCAGGGAGGACCTCACAGCAGCCTTGCTAAGTCTGCTGCTTTCTGAAAGGGGCTGCTTTGAGTGATGCTCAAAACTCGGGTGGCCGTTTGCTCCACTACCTCCCACTTTTTACACCGCCACAGAGAGCAACTGACTCTAAAAACAGAAGCACCTGAGACAAGGAAACCAAGGAATTTCACAAACAATCCGCGAGAACTTCCAGTGGCTGTGAGCGTGACCTCCACAAATCTGGTCACACGGATCACGCAGGCTCTGCGGATCACACCGGCAGACAACAAGTAAGGAGACGAGTGCCGAGACAAGTAAGGAGACAAGGCACCAGTGGGCAAACCCAACGCCGCTCACTCACGTGGGGAGAGCATTGGGGGAGACCAAGTGGAGGAGACCATGTAAGGAGACCAAGTGGGGAGACCAAGGCAGTAGCGGCGCACGGCGCACCAGAAACGCCCACCAGCCACCCAGTCGTTGAGGAGTGAGAACCCTACAGTTTTTAGCTGAAAAATGCTGTCAATCAGGGTCAATGGGTGTCATGAGTCACGACCATTTGTTTGTGGCCCTGCGTTGGGACTTGTGCGGCTCGGTCGAGCCACAGTGTCAGTGCTTTGGGATAGAGCCAGGCGTAGGTAGAGATACATCAGAAGTATACATTCTTTGCAATTCTTTGCATGCTGGGCTCATGGACGCCCAATGGGCTCATAGATGTCCGCGGTGTGCCTCTTCTTTTAGTCCGCTCGGCTATGACCAAATGCCTGGAAGTCTTTGGACGTTGCCCACCAGCCTTACTGCTTCAAACACAGAGCCATGATCCGAAGCAAGATACACTTCATTCTTGTGGCAAGCATTGGAAGGTCTCTCACCTGCATCATGGATACCTAAAAACTGCCACCCCCTCCGGTAGAGATTGCAGACATATATAACGCTCAAAAACCTTCCCTACCGCGTGGGCGATCATGTAGCCCTTTCTGGAAAGGTTCACCTTGGTTGCTCTTCCATAGATCCGCTCAAACTGAGGATTTTTGGCTGCTGCCCATCGGCGGTCGGGGACCACACATACTTGCAGGTCAATTCAACGAAGATGGGATAGAATGGGTCTGTCTCAAGATGAGGGAATTCTTGATGACCAATGGCCTATTGTGTTTCATTTGCTGGTCCTTCTATTGGGGCTATGGTTGAACAATCTTCATATTTCGAGACAATCATACATCAAGTTGTGAAATCGCAGGAAAGAGAAGAAACTCACATCACGAGCCTGTGCTTTTTATGCTCTTTCCCTTGCATTGCATGAGTAGTGGAACATGTTTTGTCCGAAACGCTGCTCAAGCCTCGCTTGTGAACGTGATCCGCTCTCGTCCGTGCGATCCAAACAATCCGCGCAAAGTGCGACCCGCGATATCTTCTCTGAGCCGTTCTCAGTGGAAGATGGCACCCGCTCAGCGATCGAAGCCCGGAAGCGCCGGCGCTTGGAAGGGGCCCGGTATCTCCAACGATGCTGTGGCAGGCCACGTCGCCCATCTGAAGGACCTATTCGGGTTCGTGGGAGATGTTGGACATTCGAAAAGGAGGGAACCAGAAATGGATTGAATTGGATTTCATGTGCTTTTGTAGATGGTCAAAATGAAGCCAAGATAGCGTTGATGGAGATGTCCATCACCTGGAAGGTCCCCAAATGTCCCGAGCATCGACGGAACGCGCGGAACACGGGGGGAATCGGGGCTCTCCGGTGGCCAGGACATGGGCTTCTGTGAGTCGAAAGCACGAAAGGCTGGGGATCGACACGGGCGAGGACAGGTGTCTGGACAGGGGTCTTCTAAGAAGGCCTTCTACAGGTGGCCTTATGAAGAACGCCTTATGCAGGTGGCTCAACAAAAAGGTCTTCGACCCGCAGATCGTACTCGATCTTGTGTTGTCTTCCAGCTTTGGAAGATCGTAGACCGTAGACACTTCTGTTCAGAACGTGGGTGTACTTGGCACAGCCATTTCTTCAGATGTACCCAGCAAAAGCATGCAAAAAACCGCCCACTTCAGAACCCCCTCCCTCCTTAAAGCCTTGCCTCTCTCTCTACTCCGCCACTTGGAATCTGTAGTGTCCGGTGTGCCACGTGTTCCACCTGTGTCTCTCATGTCTCGCCTCCAGGCTTTGGCTGAGTGCGTTTGGGATGTGAACAGAGCAATCGATCTCCTCGTCTCCCGGGGCGCGGAGTCACTGGCACCACTTCCCAAAAGTGTGGTCGCACCTGGACACAAAAGGGAGGGGGCATGCGGCATGAGTGAAGCTTTGTGTGGTCGAGCCGTGGGTCGAAGAAAGTGTGTGTGAGTGATTGTGGTGTGTATCTGTAACTTTGAGGCACTTCTCAGATGCAAAAAAGGCCCGACATTCCTTATCCCCCATGTGCATGTGCCTCAATGATTTGTGGGCTTTTTGTCCCTCCACGCGGCATGAGAAGAAGGACGAACCATCTTATCTCACGGGGCCAGCTGGAGGCTCCAGCTGGCACGGGCGATTCTTCCATCAATCAACAGGTTTAGTTTTACCATGTTTTACCCCAATTTCGTTGAGGTTGGAGACTGGAACACACTCTTGTGTCCTCTTTGGGACAAAAGGACTTGACCTCGCCCAAGACACTCATGACCACTGACTGGATGCTGCCGAGGATAGCTCGGAGACAGCTCGCAATAAGTCCAGAGACGACAACTCGACGACAGTGGCTTGTCACGAAGACAGGAAGGAAAGGAAAGTAGACCACAGAAGCCTCTTTAGGAAGACAACGGGAAACCATCAAGCATATCAAAGCCTCAAGCTGTTGTGGCCTTAGAGCTTTTTGCAAGCTGTTCTTGCCGCACTATACTTGGAGTATGTTTGGGGTGAAATGCACTCTCACAGTGTATATGGTAGTTGATCAAAAGGTCGACATAGGGCCTAAGTTCATTCAGAGCCCTTCACGAAAGATCTGCGAAAGATCTGCGAAAGATAGATCTGTGAAGCTTCGAAGACTTCTAGGATATACCCCATGCGAGAGTCCAACACGCAGTTCGCGAAAGGAGGATTCGCGAAAGTAACATATATTTTCTCGCGAAGAATGGCGTCTTCGTAAGGAGGAACTTAGATCAACCACCATATACATGGAGTGCAAACAACCTGCCGAATTCCTGTCGGGGCTGGTATCTAAGGAGTTGGGGGCTGTAGTAGTTATATACTGTATAGATAATATATATTTTAATAATATTTATTGGCCATCATTCTTGATCAAGTTTTGCAGAACACAGTTGGATATGGCTGGGACCTGAAGTGAAAAAGCAAGGCACCTGGATTAGCGAACGATTTCTCCGTGAGAATCGACCAGAATCAGATCAGGAATGGAAACACAATTGTTCGGACTTTGCATCTCCTTTTCTTCCTTGTCTTTTGTCCATCAAGATAGTACTGTTCAGCCTAGGCATCTTCCGTCTCTACGCCAAGACTCCGGAGCCTTACGAGTCTAACCACGGTGGAATCGCAAGCAGCAGAGCATGTGGAGAGCAAGGAGGAACGTCAGTTTGGTCACCCTTGGACTCACTAACCGAAGTGGCAAAAAGAAAGACGTCTTCCAAGGGGCAACAAGTGCATCGCTAGTAGTAACAAGTGCCACGCTACTAGGAACAAGTGCCTTACTACTAGTAACAATAAGAATTTAATTAGAATTGTAATTACTAGCTTCTTGTTACTACCAGTAAGGCACTTGTTCCTACTAGCAAAGGAATCTACTAGGACCTTTTCGCGCGCGCGCGCGCGCGCGGGGGGGGTAGGAAGCTACTTCCATGTGAGTGAGTCAGAGTGTAGGTCTTTGCTGTTGGAAGTTTTGACCCATTGGTGTGCTGTTCAATGGCCAGGACGGCCAGGAGACATCTGGCCGATTCAAAGTAATTCGACGAGTTTGCCAAGATGCTTCAGGGCAGGAAGATACGTTGCTTGCTGCACAGGCAGGTGATTTCCTCCGCGTATGGCCTCACACTCAAACAGAATCTCGGAGGAGATTCGTTTGACTACAAGTCAGCCCACCGAAAGATATAGAGCCAGGTGGGAAATGAAGATGAAGGGATTCCCTATCTCCACCAGTCCTCACGTTCCCATTGTTTATGCATTTGTTTTCGGAACCCTTTGGCCCGCATGACTCTTGGCATGACCCTTGCAGTTAAGGACCTGGGGTGGATTTACGCAGAGGATCCAATGGATGCATCCAGGGCTGGTTGGCTGCCCTCCCTTGCACTTGAAGACGAACAGGATGGACATGCTTGGATTTTGGTGCAAAAGACCATGCCTGCGGTTCACGAAAGCCAGTTGAATGTGGAAGAAGGTGGGGCGGCCCGTATTTTGTTATTTCAAGGAGTATGTTGGAAAAAACACATGATTCTTTCGGGATATCACAAACACCACTCAACGCTGGCTCTCTACCTCACTGCTTTTCCCTTCAGGTGAGGTCCTCAAAGTGAATCTCTCATCACGGACGCCTGAAGGTTGGGCATATGCTGAAAAGGTGACTCCATCCGGTAAGACCGACACGGCGGGGTGGGTGCCTGTGATCAGCTTGTGGTGGGACTCGCAGGAGTGAGCTATGAATTCGAGACTGGCACTGCCAGCATCGGAGCAGTGAAGCAGGGTCATGCAATACACTGAGCCTGGCGATGCGTTGGCGTTGAAGAAGTCGATTTTGAAGCCTAACTGCCAACTCCACTTCTAGCAGGCTAGCATGTCATCAAACTTAAAGGCTTGGCCAGTCGGCCACTGCACACAGGTCAGCTCAGCCCTTCCTAGCCCCTGCTTGTTCGTCTTTGAAGATCTGCTCCTATCCGCTTGCAAAGAGCGGATTCCTTGAGGTGCAAAGCTGTGAAGTTCTGCCGGGCTGTCGCCAAACTGTAGCTGGATTTGCGCAGTGCAGGCGTGCGAACGGCATCCAAAAAGGAGCGTGTTTGGAAGCAAGGAGCGAGCCCGAGGGCTCCGGGAGCCCCCGGAGGGTGTTGGTCAAAGATAGAGAGCACACCCTGAATCAGAGCTGTTTGGAGTTGGATCCCACCCTGATTTGACAAGAATCGTCCCCCCGAGGGCCTCACTACATGGTTTTGAAGTGCAGCTTGCTGAGCTTGCTGCGCAGCTTTGTTTGTTGCTTTTTTCAGGTCAGAGTTCTCATTCCCGCCACATGGATGAAGATACAGGACAGCGTGCTTTGATTTGTTCGCCTTTTCAGCCCAGGTCCCAGCCCTCATTTTGTTTCTTTGTTTTTCTTGAGTCACTTGGCACGGCACGAGCCAGCACGTCCGATGCTGCAAATCTTCATCATACGACGACCATGAGACGTTATGACTTAGGAAAAGGCCAAGAGAATCGCACACGATTCTTCGGGTACATATGTTGGTGTACCCCTATGACAAACATTACCAATCAACCACTGGTGTCCTGTGTGGTTTGGGGCTCCTTTTTGCAAGTACTAAGTTACTATATATACAGATACATGGATGATTTGGGTCATGGTTGTCACAGGTTTGGGTTGCTGGGCCCGGCTGGGCCCTGGGTTTCCATTGCTTTGTGGCCGTAACTCGTGATGCGGTCAAAAGCAAGTGAACTCCGGTGCCGTATGCCTATAGGAGATATAGGAGATCCTGCGGTGGTGTAGGTCTTAGGTGTCCAGTCCAAGCCGCCCCGCCAGTCCAGCCCTATGCACAAGGACTGGACCCACTTGATTCTGGTGGTCGGACACACAGATGCGGAATTTCTTCGAGATGAGTGGATCGGGCTGGGCAGACTTCGGCAGCCATTCAAGTGCATTATTGATGTTGAATGAAAAGCAGCAAGTGCCAAGCAGCAAGCGACCAAATTCTTGTAACACCGAAGGAGGGGCGCTGCTTCAATCGTTGTCCAACATTTCGACAGAACTGGGCCAGCTCTACTACCTACCCCTTTGAAGGAAAAGCTGATTGCGAGACGCACATCCAAAACTTCGAATCCACAGTTGACATGGTTTCTGTGGAAGTTCAATTATGGTAGTGCCGTGCTTCACTGCATCGATGGAAGCAGACATCGATGGCAGAAGAACATCTCAACATACAGGTTCTTTCCTTTTTTTACCATGTAATTCACATGCAGAAAGTGATTCTCTGTTTTGGCGTTTTTCCCCGGTGATTTGGCCTTGATCTTCGTGACCAGGGATGACTGCGGTGATGTTCTGTGTCAGTCACTCCGACGTCTCGGTTGGTCACGTTGTTGTCTTGACCCAGGTGGGTACCATTGCATGTACCGTGGAGGCACCGGACGACGGGTCGAGCCCAGGGACGGTGCTACGTCCCATGCGGGGGGCTTGAGCCTACAGACATAGCAGAGCTGGCAGAGCAGCAAGTTGCCAGGTTTTTCAGCTACACTCACTCTTCTTGGCATGTTGGGATCATCAATGAATGAAGGAGAACATTGGGCAACCATCAATTGAGCGACTCTAAACGTAGGCAGATGCCATAGGCTTAGGTTTGCCGTGGAAGACAAGGGATCCAAGCGGCAGCCGGGTCGAAGTCGTTGCTGTGAAGAAACGTGTCCAGATCTTGCGAACCTTGTGGAAGCTGTTCAACGCCCAATGTGGGAGTCTCAGTATTCCTCAATAGTGCCCAATGAGAATAGAGAGCAGCCGGAAAGACAGAGAGAGAGAGAGAGAGAGGTGAGTAGCCAGGAAGGACATTGGAAGTGCTTGCTGTTGGTGGTGGTTGGATAGGAACCATGGCGATTGCCGCTGTTTTGTAGATGCTCATGACTGATGGCTCCAGGAAAGTACTCTGATGACAAAGTGCCTGGCTAGATTCCCAACGAAACTGTGCCGAAATTTGCTGTTTGGATCAGAATCTGCGAAAACTCGGAGAGTTCATCCGAGAGATGTGGCTTTTTGAACAAAAATGACTCAAAAACCCGAACCCCAAAAGAACGTGAACCAAAGAAAGACTCCTCTCCTCCCCGCCCGAAAGCGATGCGACCGAGGCTTGGCGACGGGGTGCGTGAAAGAGATTCTCTCATTGGTCACTTGGACAGATCCGAATGAGGATCTCCAAAAAGCGAAACACATGTAGGGTCTGATCAAATGGTCAACGTGGCACTAGTGGCCGAATAAAACCGGGAGTGCATGGATGTGCATGGCTTGGGCCAGTGGGCATGGCGGCGTGGCGCAGGGCGCATGGGACGACGTAGCTCCAAAAAGGCCAACGTGCCAACGTGGCAAATGGGAAAGACATGGACGTACACGGTGCGCGATCATAACGCGCCCATTTCCCGAGCGGTGCGTTGTCGGCCGAGTGGTCGAATCCTGGGAAAACATCCTTTTCCACAGTGCCAATTCAAGTCAGCACATGTGAAGAAGCCAAAGATTTGGAATGGGCCATCCCAAAAGATTGGGACCTTTGTCTTCCAACTCGAAAGATACTGCGGAGAAGAGCATGTTTAAAGCAGGTTTAAAGCAGAAAGCATGCGGCCGCCAGAGACCCAGGTCTTCATCACACCTTGCATTTGGTACATCCTGACCATCATCGGCCAGTATGATGATCGGCTACAAGCCAAACAGAGGGCAGCCAAAGTGGAGAAGGCGGAACACTTGGGCTTCGGTGCAGGGGTTTGCCACCAAAGCCCATTTGTTAGGGGCCTGTCTTTTGTTCAATGAAACAGCTGTGTGGTCCACCCTAGAAGGTTCTTTTTGTTCTAGTCAGGCCTGACTGGTTGTAGGCCCAGAAGGGTCTCCAGCAGATCTCCACTCTGAGATCTCCACTCAGATCTTATGAGTGAAGTGGTGCGTCGGATGGTTTGGACTGTTTGTTCATAGTGCAGCTGTTGACGTCGACCGTGAGAGGAAAACTTGGCACGATCCTACAATGACCTCCTCTCCGACATGGATGGCCTGCTGTCGAAGTCAGCAGAGCTTGGAATCCTCAGATGCGGTTGGGCTGGTTCAGTGTGCTTGATGGAGGATAGAGCACTTTCCTCTAGACTCTAGACTTTGCCCGTGAAGACTCTTGCGACACTGTGTCAAGCTACGGGCCAACCAGTGTGTGGTGGCAGCATGGAAACATAATTGAAAAGGCTTCGGGTCGAAGAAGAGTGCTACACTTCTTGCTTCCTGCATATAATTGGTGCACTTAGCGGATCGATTGCGTTCACTGCATGCGGCGGTCAAGTTCCATCTCGCTCTCATTCCACAACATGTCCTGTAGAGAGATTCCAGTGGAATTCATTCACAGGTCCCACACGTCCCGCGGCTCCGCCGCTCTCCGCTCGACACGGTCTCCACTCCAGGTCCTCTGCCGGGCTGGCGGAGCGGACGTTCGAGTCCAAGCGCCGGGATTTCCAACGCTTCTTGGAGCGGGTCAAGTGCCTTGGAGTGGAGATTGAAGGTTCAAAGGTTCTGGGGCTGGTGGAGAGTTGGTGTGGGAAACTTTTTCGTGTTTGAAACGCGCCTTTTCTGGGACTGGAGCGAAGAGCAATCTTTTGTTCTAGAAGGCCTTTCAGTTCCGGTGGGCACTCCTGACATACCAAACCCTTTTGGAATTCCCTCTAGCACAGCGTCACCATTTCTTGTGGACACAAGAGATGGATTCACGAGACACCTTCCTCAGGCTATCGAGATGGATCTGTAGCCCTATAGAATGGTGGTGGTGGATGGTGGTGGATGGTGTTTGTGCGCGTGACACTGGTCGACGAGATGATGCTGGTTTATTCGTTTTCGTTCTGGAAGACGCACCCATGAGAGTGGCGACGTGGATGGGTTTGCGACCGGTTTGAAACCGCCTGCGTGGATGGGTCGAGACCACACAGGGAGCCACAATGCTTTTCCTCACCTTTACATAGAGATTCTGTGAAGTAGCACAATGCAAAAACCGCAGGTGCCCACCAGAGGCAGACCCAAGGAACTCTTATTGTAATATGTTCAGAGCCTCAAGCCTGCCTGCGAGTCCTGCCAGGGAAAGATACAAAGTCTTTGCTGGCACCAAGGCCGATCGGGTTGCCTCCTTGGTAGAGATGATTGGCCTGTTCGACCACTATGGAATCACTGGAGCGAAACGACCAAACTAGCAGTTTGTGTCTTTTGTAGACTTGCTCCGTCCTGAATCCCTTCAAACAAGTTCTGAGTGCAGTCAAGGAAAGACTCGTTCTGAAAGTAATGAATTCTGCTGGCTCTGGCAGGATGCAGAGCAGGTTCTTCGACAGTGGGGATACCTTCAGACACAGAAGGTTTCGGGATGGGTCAGGGGCGGTATACGGTGCGGTATACGAGGCGGTATACGGGATTGCTCGATGTAAATGCACGTCCGCTGACGGAGATATCACCTCCACCAGTTGGAGGGAGCGACACTGGGCTCAAGGACCCGTGCTCCATCGCTTCCCCCGAGGTTCAAACGCTTTTGCTCCAATTGGCTGAAGGTCTTTGAGGAGCCATGGACCATCGTGACGACACACGACCCTTTTTCAACCGCCAGGGCCATTCTGGAAGCAACGGATTCTTCCATTGACTTTTCTCCTATTCTTGGGGGGGTTGAAGAGTTGGAGATCTTGATACGCACTGAGTGGGGCTGGGCGGTTGGCGCTCACCACGGCAGGAGTGCTCGATCGACCCCATCCACTATCCCAAGAAGGTCATCAACGAGAAGGAACCCGGTTCGGCGAAAAACGACGAGAAGGGAGATGCAAAGACAGACTCCAAGAAATTATGGATAGCTCTTTTGCATCAAGGCAGGAGCATGAGGGCAGAGTCCAAGAACAGCATCAGTTGGTGCATGGTACTTGTATAGCTGCCGGGTATCTCATCATTCTTATCAACGAATTCCGGCAGGCGACCTGTGAACACAAAACGAGGCAGTGCGTCTATATTAATCAGCTTCCGAACGAGTGAGGGCTTCTGCACAGCGAGGTGTGGTGGGTGAAAACACAGCACGAAAGGCCTTGCCAAAAGGCCTTGGTGATTGGCATCAGGGTCGTCGGTTTTGGCATGTGTCTTTGTTCGCCGCAGGCGTGAAGAAACACATCTAAATGGTTCTCCACGGTTCATTCGTGAAAGCAAACCAGGATCTTGATGACTGCAGCAGCATCGGGGAGGCCGATGCGATTGGGTCGAGAGCGAGGAACAGATTTCTGAGACATGTGCTGTAGTTGCAGTTCGGCCGGAATCAAGAAGTAAAGAAGACTCTGAATGGGTGTAGCTGAGTAGCCCCATTTGCTCCCACTTTGAAGACCCTGTGTTCATCCTAACTCAGCATTTTTGAAGACAGTGCTTCCCTGGTTTAATTACAGCTTTAATTGATATGATTCCTTTGGATCCCAAAGGAATTCTGTTCTCCCCCAGAGGATCTCAGTCGCTGCCAGGTAGCAGACCTTTGCCTTGACAGGTTGAAGAAAACTGAGGCCGAAGAGTGTTTGGGGCTGGTCCAAAGTTCTTGCTGGTTCATATGAGAGTGCCAAGTGACCAAAGTGGCCGAAGTGACTAACTAAACATTTTGGTGGTAGTGCCTTTGATCGGTACCTGTTTGGTCTCCTCACGTTGATTGCAACACATCCAGCATGGAGCAGGTTCGCTTCATCAGCACACAGCGCGACCAGGACGGATGCTGCTCTGTGCGAGTCAGTTGTCATATACAGTCATTCTAAGTGTGAAATTGGATTGTGTTCAGTATGATTTTTGTTGGTACAAAGCAACGCGTGAAAAACCAACCTTACCGGAACAGGAGGAAGCAGACTCTTGAGCTGCTGTCTGAAGGCCTCTGCTCTTTGGCTTCCTTCTTCGCCTGATCCCGCTTTCTCCGCCGAAGGATGCCCAGCTGCTGAGGAAGAACAAGAATGAGTTCCGCCGCATGACCGAGAAGGAGCGCGCCAGCAGGCTGTGCGGAAGCTTGGAGGGGAAAGAAGAGGTTGACCAAGTTGACTGGGGCGCGGCGATGGATCTCGTCGGTGGAACTCGTCCGTTGAGTCTAAAGCTCCCTTGTGTAGACTTGGAGCCGAGAAGAGAAGCTCAGATCAGAACAGATAGCAGGACATGACACCAGGAAATAAGTCAATGGACTTCCTGGACAGACACTGGACAAGGAGTCCCTTCGAATCTACTCCTGCGGCTTTTGCGGCTAAAAGCTTTTGCGGCTTTGGTCAACTTCCCAGCATGCATCACCAAAAACTGTCCACGCTCACACAGGGGACCTGGGATGCAATATGCAGAAATTAATGCACTATGCAACAAGGTGCCAAGACGGAAAGGTAAACCTTTCACAAAGTTACCCACACTGCCTGCGCCCACCTGATTCTTTCATCACCGCCAGCTCCGATAGTTGAACAGGAAATGTCTCAACTCGCTAACTAACACACATGGCAATGGGTCAAAACCGGAGCCACAATTTCTTGGTGGGTTGACATCCCTTATAGACTATTAGAGGAAGCTGTTCATTTTCTGCGGTCAACCAGGGTGACGGGGTTTTGACCCACGGCCACATTTGTCCAGTTGCTCCAGGTAGGCACAGATTCAAATTGGCTGTTTCAATTTTTGTTGACATTCTAAAGTTTCTGCCAACCAAGCGCCTACAGCCACAGACCCAATCCAGAAACAAGATAAAACCGGGACGCCAAAGCACACTCACTGTACTTCACTCTACATTCAAACACTCTTCTTTTGTCCACCACTCTCATTTGAAGACTTGCGCAGACTCTTCAGGGTAAGGAAGGGACGATTCCTTACCCCTGTTTGGAGTCTTCCATATAGAAGGTTTGTGTGGAGACATGACATTGATGTTGGAGAAATTCTGCAACCAACAGACATGGCCAAAGTATCAGGATGCCGGCATCCATTCATATCCATTCACCCATTTATGTTTCTAAGAAGAACTCAGGAGCAAACTTGGTGATTAGGCTCTGAAGAGTGACGAACTGCACATACCGCTGAGTGGTTAAACATAATCCTTTATCATCTCACCAACCGCATGATTTACTATATATAGATCAACAGAGGTGATTTTGACACCTAGATCTTCCATGTGAGGTTGGAGTTACCTGCGCCTTCCACCTCGTCCAGAAGTGTTGGACAAAGCAGCCCGGTCCTGAGTGGTGATGAGCGGTGAGATTCATGATTCACATGGGGCATGACACATGGTGAGTATGACACACGGGGGCATCGTTCACCGGCTCGGATCCGTAGACCCAACCAGGACAGCGCAACAAAAAACGGGGACCATGAATAAGTGGAGAGCTGGAAGATGGTGTTCCTCTTTTTATTAAGACAGCGGCATTTTTCGGGGGTTCTATGGCAAGTCTTCGAGGAGCCCAGACTCAGACAGCTCAAAGTCGGGCGGAAACAATGTGGTTCCATTGCTGAGGCAGCGGCAAGAAGAGGCGGCTTTCGTGGCTGTCCTTGGGTGGGTGTGGGCACCAAGGGTGATGGGCCAAGCCACCCGATCTTGATTTGAACCAGCACTGTGTGTAGTAGAAAGGTGTCTTTTTTGTTTTGGTTTTGAGTGGGCTGCCCAGTGTGAGTATACAACACCTTTTCCTCCACCCTTGAAAGCCCCATTGGCCTCGAAGCCGGCCATCATTCTTGTCTTCATACCTCCGCCCTGCCACTTGGATGTCTTTTGTGGTCGCTTCAGACCCAGGCCAAGGCAGTTCTATGTGAGGAGCAGTCCGACCAAGGACGGCGAACGAGTACTCGGACTCGTTCCGGGACCTCGGGCACAGCTAGAGGACACTCAGGTGAAGCGTGTGTAGTGAGTGAAAGACATTTCAAAGGACTACCAGAGGTAGATAGCTGTAGATACCACTCCTCTTTCACCAAGTCAGGAGCTTGACCCAGAGGTTTGAAGTGCCTTTACTGAAGCGGACTTGGCCAAGTGCTCGTCTCAATCTTCCAAGCCAGTGGGTTGTGGAGGAAATGCTGGGAGGGTCCTGGATCCATTGCCTCTTCTTTGGCAGGACAGCTATCCGAAAGAGATCCGCTGCGGATGTGGCCAGCTGGTCATCCTCTCCATGGAGCATGCCTGCAAGCTCAGAGGATGTCTCGGGTGGATGCTCCCCATGTCTGACTGGTCTTGAGTCTTGACAGTCGTGATTGAAGGAACAGGATCTTCCATTTTTGAGAGTCAATTCTATACTTTGAGACTCCGAACTTGGGTTTCTGAAGTGGTTTTGCCAAGAGCTCAGAACAAAAGGATTCTTCACTCCAGGATCCTTCCCATGCCCCGAGTCGCTCCCCGGTCGCCCGTCCGGTCCACCGGAAAGGCCCGGCTGCTCATCGGCGTCTTCATCGGAGCGGCGCTCTTCGCGTGCCTCCGCGGCTCCGCCACCCCTCAGTCGTGGAGCTCCGCGGCTCCATCACGCGGCTCCGGAAAGATGAGAGGTGTGTATGAGAAAAATGGAGACCCCTTTTGCTGGGTAGACCGGTCGAACCTTCCTGGTCGAACTCTTCCGAACCGAACCCGGTTCAGGCTCCGCCATAAAGGCCGAACCCCGATGCCCGATGCATACAATACACACCGTCCACCGTCCACGTTCCTCGGCATGGGCGTGCCATGGCCGTGCTCGAGGACGCCTTGTCCCTCGGATCGGCCTCGCAGGTACAATATTTACCTACTGGTGGAGGCATCGAAGGACCCGAAGAAGTCGGGGGCCTGAGTGCCGGGCCGGAGCCGGTGGTGAAAAGAAAGGCATACAGAGGATCCCTCAGCGTACAGTATGAGGAGAGTGCCCAAAAAGGCGTACAGTACGAGGAGATTCTCCCCTATTTTGGAGGGTCAAACGACGCCAGCGAAAGCCGGGAGAAGGTGACCAGAAGGGAACATGTTTGGCTTGAGCCACTGTGCAAATGACACCTCAGACACTAGATCAGCGATGACCTCCAACTGCAGTAGGCAAAAGACTCCTAAGTGAACTCCTAAGGTCTTTCTGGAGGCAACTGCAGGTCTCTCCCTAAGGCACCTAAAGCTTTTTTCAGACCGATCGTCCTAACCTTGGTGTTCTTGGGGATGGTTCATCCCCCAAAGAAGGGTGCTCAGCCCTCCAACGTCGCCTGCGCAGAAGCTCCACGTTCCTCATCCTGAGCACCACAGACCTTTTGGCGGCAGAGGCGAAGAACACGGTCCTGGCATCGGAGCTTTAGGGCGAAGTGTCATAAATCAATCATCTCTCTCTCTATATATATATAAATAAACTAAAAGAAGGCATACACATGCATTCTGGGCACCTGCTAGAAAAGAGCTCTAGGGCAGTTCTTATCTCCAATCATCTCGAATCATAGTGATTCTCGCAAGGGGAAAGTTGTTTGGGGCGACTGGCCCTTGGGACTATGCGAAGGACCAGAGATAAAGCTTATCCAGAGTAGAATCGTATCTTATTTGATGGATTTGGGCCTGGAGAACAAACCTTTGAAGCAGCTGACTGCTTTGGTACAGCACTAGCAGTACTGGCTCCCGGAAACATCAAGCTTATGGTTGATTGCTCACGGATGCTGCGTACTTCCTTCCACTGTGCCTGCCGGTTGCGCAGATATGCTTGATTGTGATGCTGATGAGATTCGAGGTGCATGGGGAGCAGTCGGTGCTTTCGATGGAGTAATTTCATGAAGGATCACTTCGCCTCTCAGGGTTTCGTGATGGGAACAAAGAACACACACCAAAAGAGCATTTTATTTGAGAGCAGTACACAGGGCACACCTCATGTTGATTGATCTATCTCACATTCTAAAGGGTATTTGGGGGCTTGGGAGTGATTGCAGACTCAATAAGTCCAATTTAGCTTTGTCCAGCCGGGTAGTCGAAAATACTATATATATAGTATAATATGATAACATAAACAGACTATCATAATGGAGTATGCTTCTTGTTTAGACACTCGCTGCAGCGCGTAGGCAAAGAACCTCCAGTTGTGTTTATATATACCCACGACATCTTATTGGGTTGTTGGGTTCTGTCATGTTCCGTGAGGAGTTGGACATCATTCAACAGTTGGAGCGGGAAGTGAAGGAGACCAGATTGTCAATTCAGAGAGGAGTATGGTCTTCAATGCAATCTTCTTTGAAGAGAAGATCGCACAGAGATTAAAGCAAACTCCAGTATGCTTCCGTGAACTATACATATTACATTCGCACAAAACATCTTCTGGAGCAAACATGAAGAAATGCAACCGCATGACTGAAACATCCCGGATTGTAGTTATTGAAAGGTCGTGTTTCTCTCTGGTTTATTAGTCTTACCTTGATTTGACTTGAAGGAACTGGCTCGACAAAACGAGCAAGTGGAAAAGCAGCGCGAGAAGATGACAGAGTTCTGGAGGCCAGGTTACTTTGCATTATGAATCTTGTCTTCAGAAAGTCATATATATATATACTTCTAACCTAGTGCTTTGGTCTTTCCAACTGGCTTCTTAAAGTCACTTGTTTGCCGTAGGAACACATCCAACTAGACGTTTGCGTGGAGCAGACAGCTGGACCGGAGCAGAGAGAGCGTTCGGTCTCGGACGGTCACGCCAGTAACGCCCAGCAGCTCACCGAACTCTGGCTCTATCGGACGGTCCCCCGTTTGGATCTTTACAAGGCGCGGCTTCTTCTTCTCCAAACGCACACTTGCGAAGCTTGCGAAGCGAACTCTGAGGGAAGCTCAGCCAAGAGTGTTGCAAACTGCAAGTGGTAGACTTTCTTGGAGACGCTTCGAAATGGTGGTGGATGCTTCAAATTGCCTCACTTCAATTGCTCCAGGAAGTTCACAACCAGCTGGAAGATTGCAGCAAAGAGGACCCTGGACCCTTCTGACCGACCTCACCCGGATCAAGCCCAAACGATTCTTCTCCTCGCCCTTTGCAGGACCTCCTCACTCACATGGCAGGCGCCAACCAGCAATTGGAGGACGGGGACCGTGGGAAGAACTCGGCACCTCGAGGGGCCTGGCCCTGTCCGCGTTGTGGCCCGTTCGAACAACATCGAAGTGGACGTCGTGTGGTGTCCTGTACCTTGCAGTCCACTTGAGAGACCTCGGAATCCCACAAACATGATCCTCATGTCCATGGAGACTTCCTGGATGTTCTTCTGATCTAAATCCCATGCCAAATCCCGATGTTGCGACCCCCTTGCGCAGGACTTAGAGCGACATCTTGGAGAGCTCCAGGAGATGAATCCTCCAGATTCATGTGGCAACACCTCGCCCTTGGGGTTGGGGATGATCTTCTTCTTTTGTCCCGCACCAAGTTTTGTTCTTTTGTGTGTGAGTTTGGTGTCTCATGATTTTGCCTACAAAGCATGGTGAAGTCATGATAAGTCATGGAACCCTCCATGTTCCTTGATGGTTTGAACGGGTTGTCATGAAAGAGAAGCAGCTGGGTTCAATGATGAAGCTTCCCGCGCCGTGTTTCACTTGCCACCCAGTCTGTCGACCCGGTCGACCCATCCAGCCATCGCAGGACTGGAAGCAGGATGGGCGAATTAGCGCCGACACCAAAAAATTGGTCGGCAAAGCCATCAACGAGATCTCCAAGGTGCACGGGGGGAGTTGCGACCACGGTTGGTCTCCGACATGGACGGGGACGGACGGGGACGAACATGAGTTGCGACCACTGTGTTCAGATGAAGAAAGGGTTGCATTCATTTTGGCTGGACGTGCTTTTTCGAGAGATTGATTCAGTCTTGGTGGACTAGATGTTCTGTTTGCCTCCGGGCTGGAGAATGTCCCCCCCTTGGCGTTCCTCGGGACACCGTGTTGCTGTCGCCCAGCCACTGAGACCGTTCGTGGGTCTCTTTTTTCAGGAGAACGAGCTGGATAAGATGCTGGAGAAGCTGGAAGATGCGGGTGGTCTCAAGGGTCCAAAACGTTTTTCTTTTTTTCGCTGCGGGTGGTCTCCAGTCTTGGTCTCCTGTTTGGTGGTTCTATGGGTGGTGTTGCTTGCTGTAGCTTGCTGTTGCTTGCGTTTGTGACCCTGGGAGTTCGATGGTTATTTGAGGTGTTATTTTAGTTCTCTTGGAATGTGTGCCTGCTCTGAAACGGTAGCTGTGGCTTCAATTCCTCTGTTTTTCCAAAGGATACTGACCAAGCACCAGAAACGAGATCCCCCGTCGGCCGAAAAACTTTAGGTATTTGGGGTCATCCTATGATGCCAAGGCCGTGTCATCGAAGATGAAAGCTCTGAAGGGGCCCAGTCAGTGAGGTCGACCTGAATCGGCCACAGGCGGCCACAGGCGCCTGTGGCCGGCATTGCGCGCATGCATCTTCACTGAGAGGAACGATTGGCACCCTTCAAAAAGGAGTTGTGAAGACTGCTTAGAAGCCAAAGTTCTGTAGTTTGCTTCTGTGTATTTTGCTCGTATTTTTGTTGGTTATCACTACAAACAAATTGTTTATGACACTCAATGTCTAGGTCAAGGTCCTACTAACTGATGTGAAACCGTTTGCAGTGCAAAGATGTCGCTGCGCGGATCTCAGATTAATGTGACACCAGCGGTAGTCCGGATCCCTGCCCATGGCTGGGAAAGGGCACGCAATCCCGGCGACCCTGGTGAAAAGAGCAAAGCTTTTCAGGGGGCTTGATCGACATAATTGCTTTGCAGCATGGCCACTGAGACAAGAACCTCTGAAGAACTCCAAGGATATCCAGCTGAACCTCTACACCAATCTTTGATCGATCCTCACATCCACTGTGCACCATAGAGGCTATGGTTCCAAGAATCCACAAGATCCATAAGGTTCGGAGGACTCTTTTCAGCAGGGGCGCCCCTGAGTTGTCTCCTTGAATCCGCAGGGATCTTGAGGCCTTTGCCTTGAGTTGGTTCCGAAAGAAAAGCCGCGACTCGACCACAAGCGACGTGATGGCGGAGCATCATCTGCAAGAACAGGACATGACGTGGGTAGAGGACACGAAGATTTCTTGCGCGGCAGGTCAAATAGTATTGACCTTGAAGTCTACTGAATGAGCAGTCTGCCAGCTACTCGGAGTGGACCAGCCCCAGGAAGACCCGAAAGAGAACCCCCTCAGTTCGGCCGGATTCGTTGGAATCTTGCACTCAGTTTCGCAAGGTAGTGGTCTGATGATCTTCATTTTCGGTTCTACTCACCAACCAATGGCAACCGACCTCAACGTGTCTGCGACCTGGATCTCCCAAAACCTGTTCGAATTCCCAACTGATCACTGGATGCAACTGGGCTCCACAGGTAGCAAGGCAGAGAGGGTGGATCTTCTGGCCCAATCACGCGCCATGTCGAAGCTGAACATCGACAACTTGAAGAAGGGTCCGGAAGCGGAACAAAAAGGGCTGGCTGGATTTTTGGGAATTGACTTGAGGAGGGATTTGGCCGGGAACTTGGGCCTGGCAGAGACTATTCACTATTTTCGCAGCATCCTTCCGCCGTCTGCATTTTCGGATGAAAAGCTTCTCAACGAGATCTGGAGGGAAGCGGACTGGATTTTCTTAGAGTTCCAATGCCACTTCTCATCGTTGTACTTTTCAACCACCATTTGGTGGAAAGGCCAAGCCATGTTTCCGAACGGGCTTGGCGCCATGTGTTTGAAGACAGACAGCGAGCTGTGCGTTCCATTCATCGTCCGAAGGGACCACCTGAGCTCTTCCGCCCTCTTCGGAGCCCTAGTTACGTATCCCAAACCAGTCTGGTGTTCTAGTTACGTTGCGCAGGAGCAACACCTGGACTTAGAAGGTTTGAACTATGTGGGTGGACTGAGTGCACATCCATGATCGAAGCTGTGTGGTGCACAGCCCCCAGGCATTGTGCAGATCCTGGATGGCAGCAAGGCCGGTTCCGGGTGTCGTTTTTTCGCGCTTCACCGGTTCCGGGTGGGGCTCTGAGGAGAAACAACGGAAGTTCCTGGAGACGGTAGAGTTGCAGATTGGCCTCAAGGACGGGTGTCGTTTTTGGCGTTTCGTCGTTTCGGACGCATGAGGTGTTTGTGGACATGCCGAGCATGTGGATTCTTGGCCGATCGGAAGCAGATGGATGTCTCCAAGCTACTTCACATGAGCCCGCACAGATTCAAAGGCAAATTCGCCTGCAGGACTATGACACTCAGCGAGACAAGCGCTTTGCCTTGACCCCGAGATTAGATATCAAACCGGTGTCCATGTCGAAAAGAAGCAAGACCCTGGTCAGAGGACATGTGGGGCATGTGGGGATGAGTCAAAACCTGGAGCCTGACCAGTCCACCATACAGTGTCATTCTCATTTTGTATACGTAGTGTTTGCCTGCACAGCGGATCCGTACCAACTCCCCCTGGTACCCACCCTATGGTGAACAACCATGGGAAGCGCCGGATCGGATAAGCAAGTCTCGCCGGTAGGTCAACCAACTGTTTTGCACGTGTGTTGCATGTGATGTATAGTGCATGTCTTTTAGATACTCTTCACAACTCCCCAGTACCCACCAAGAGGTGAAGGACTTGGGGAAGCGCAGACATTGGAGCGCAAGTGACGTCGGTAGGTCAACCAAGGTGTCCTGGTTTTGACCCACAGGCATTGGAGGTGACCTGCTTTGTTCCTTTGGCAACAGCGCAGACGTCGGAAAACCCGCGGAACCCCTGAGGCCGGCACCATCAAGCTTCCGCATGTTCCTCGCCCCAGATTGAAGGTGGGATCAAAGGAAAGCAGAGCACAAGGGGACCAAAGGGACCAACAACAAGCACCACAGTGAAGCTCAGATTCTGAGGTCTAGAAGCTGTGAGATGGTCACGCAAGATGCAGCATTTCTTTGGGTGCTGAAAAGCATAGTGTTCGAAACAGCTGTACAGTTCCAGGGGGCTGATCTTGATCTTGGTTTTCATCGGTATTTACCCATCCCAAATGAGCGCAACACTAAACAAAGCAGATGCAAGGATACTTGCTCTTCATGGTTTGCCAGGTGTGCGTGTTGGGCGACGCAGTGCACTGTGAACAGGCGGGCTGGGCTGCTTGCGCACAGACAGAGAGAGAGAGAGAGAGAGGGAGAGAGACATGCTACGATTCGGTGTCAAGGGTGTCAGTGGTTCTGTGCTGTGGTTTGGTCATATTTTGTTGAAACAAGCCACGGTTCTTGTCCCAACTGGTCGTTCTGTAGGGGTCCCTGGAAGCGCCCTCAGCATCGGGTCCTTTTTTAAGCCAGAGTTGCTGGCGACGCTGCCAGCTTCTGCCAGAGGCTCAGCGAGCCAACATCCCCTTCAAGAGCGTGGAGGAGGGCACTCCGGCGGCCGCAGGGTGGTCAGCTCTCATGGAGTTTTCCAGTCAATCGGGGAAAGATGGGTGATGTTCTCTTGAGGATCTCAAGAAACTGAACAAGAACAAGAAGATGGTGAAGAAACTCGCTGACTCCTTCGACGCCTTCTTAGCCTCGCAGGCAATGGGGAATGATTGGGGTGGGAGTTCACATTCAAGTAAGTGTTTTTGGACGGGTTTTGTTTGCGGATACCTTTTTTTCGACCAAACTCAGCTTTCCGTTCAAACCCTTGTAGGAGTGGGCGCAGGTCCGCAAACCCTTCCGGTGCAGCGCCGTCTCTCAGGTGCTGATCCCTCAGATCCCCCGTCTCTTGGGCCCCGGCCTCAACAAGGCGCGCTAGGGCCGCTAGGTGGCTTTTCATGGGGCCCGGACCCGGGGAATGCGCCAGCACCGGTCCTCCGTGGGTGGCGATGGTGAAGCCACGATCTGGAGCTACGATCTGAAGCGGAAGAAATGCTCCGTGGGGTCACGAGGGCCACGCAGGCATAGGTATCAAAAAAATAATAAAAAGAGCATAAACAAAATAAAAACAGGATCAAAAAAAAAATAAAAAGCGAATCAAAAAAAACATATTCCTTGATAGGCCTCTTCTGCTGCTCTCCTGGCCTTGTGGTCTGCGGGTCCTCTGGTAATGTGGTCCCTTGGTCCTTTGGTCCCTTGGTCCTCTGGTCCACTGGTCCTTTGGTCCCCTGGTCCCTTGGTCCTTTAGTCCACTGGTCCCCTAGTCCTCCGGTCTCCTGGTCCTCTGGTCCTGTGGTCCGCTGGTATCCTAGTCCTTCTGTCTCCTGGTCCGCTGGTCTTTTGCTCTCCTACGGCGCTCGTCTGTCGATCTCCTGGTCCCCTGCTTGCGCAAATAGAGGCTTGATTGCTTTCTACTAGAGGCAGCTCCCTGGGAAGAAAGTAGGTACCCAACGATAAGGTTGCCGTCCAGTCATTGAGTAGCCCTACTCGAAAAATGGTTCACCAGTGGAAATAGCTCCCTAGGAGGGAGCTCCTGGGGAGGTACACTCTCCTCTACTACCCCAACCATCCTCAGTGGGCTAGAATATTATTTTTTTGATTACCTTTTTATTTTTTTATTGATCCCCGTTGAATATATATTTTTGATTCTATTTTTATTTTGATCCCTTACCCGGCCACGCAGGTCTTTTCAATTCGATCCTGCTGTTGGGAGGAAACAGATCGAATCCCATGGTTCGCGAGGTTCACTGAGTCGTTTTTGCCCTTCTGGTGGGTTAGGGCAACTCGTGGCTCAGCTGTGAAATCGGTGGGTCACCAACCACGAGCGAATCCTCATGAATCCTCAACTGCTTCTTCAAAGATCTTCTATACATTTCTATACAAACTTCACAGAGTAGCGAAAAGCAGCGAAAGAGCAAGTCACATCGTGTCAACAGCTTGAGCGTCAAGGGCTTGTCGCGTCGTCATTGGTCACGTCACGTCGTCGCGTCACGTCGCGAGGCCGGGAAGTTCCCCACCCTGGTGCAGCACAGCGACAACTTGGAGACCAAGGCATCGGGTCGCGCCGTTTTTCGGCCTCGGTCGACGGGGACCGTGGGTTGTTCGCGAGGCCATGGAACACATCCATGTTTTTCGATGTGACCTTTGGAGCAGGTACCAGGAGCATCCGTTTGGGGTGGTGTCCCTTGGACGCCCCGTCTACTATAGCTTGAAGGGACGCCCCCGTTTGGACGACAGGATGGTCTGGTCGACGCTGCGGCCAGGTCACCGAGGTCCGTAGCCAAGTGAAGTTCCAGCTGAAGAAGGCGAGTCCGCGATGGCAGGGCAGGGCAGAGCGATGGATGGCAGGTTCCGGCAGATCCGTCGATGGAGGAAAGGGGATCCCTAAATCGATCCATGTCATCGACTCGTTTTGGTTTTGGCGGAAGTTTTGGAGACCTGCGGGGGTACTGCATACATCAAGACATCTTGATGCTCTCTGGCACTAGAGTGGTCAATGGAAGGTCTCGTTCGGTTTGGACAAGCTCAGCCAATTGGTATTCATGTACTTGCTAAGGTGCATGTTCTCTCCCGATGATCCGAGAAAGCTTCGGCCAAGGGAAGCCACCGAGAGTACGGACTGTTTGATCGTTTGATGCCTCGCGCGATGGCCTTTTCTCTTTTAACAAATGCGCAGGAGACATGCATTATGCTTGATAAGAAGAGTCTCTTTCCACGGACAGATTGACACACACACACACACACACCGTAACCAATGTATTCAGAGTCCACAATTAGGTATTCTACAGGGCTGCTGTTTCGCTTTCGGTGTCGCCGTGTCATCTGGCGCCACGCGAGGTCTTGTGCATGGGTGTGGCGGTGGGCAACGTGCAGATGACGCCCGACGAGCTGAGGCGCCGAAGGGTCGGGTGCGTTGGACGAGGTCCCGGTGGACCGAGGTCGGGGCATTTCGTTTGGCCGTCGGGCACCGTTCTTTTGGACCATTTGGACCATAAACTGACTGAGCGGGGCGGAAGGTGAGCACCTCTTGAAGATCAAGTGTCTTTTATCATATTTGGAGGTACATTGCTGGTGGGTTCATCTAGTGCCTAGAGGGACCCCATGCTCGGTGGACGAACCGGGGACTGCTATGGCCAAAACATCCTTTGTCACAGAGATTTTGCTGAAAAGGCGGATTGCAACCAACATTGACATGGTTCATAGGCTACACTGGTCAGGAACCGACAGATCTACCTTACGAAAATGGTCTCGTTGACCCAAGGGATATCTGGGACTGCCCCCTAAAATGACTCATATGGAAGTGGACATTGCCCCTTGGACTGCAAGGTGGTTTTCTCTACGTTCGCAGGTGGTCTTCCGCCATGATTCGGAGGACGTTTTTCCGGAAAGCGAGCCGGAGGTGATGGTCCGTTGCTGGAGGTGATGCACCGCCCCCCTACCCTACGAATCGTTTTTTGTTCGCGAAAATGGCACTAGAGGTGGAGATATTTCATGAAAGGCGCTTCGGAACTGGACGCACTGGACTCTTCCCAACAGGAGGTGCCCATTTGCAACATTGTACAAGCGTAGATTGGACGTGTTGTGTGACTTACTGGTCTGTTTCTGTTCCCATTCTGGATTCTTGTCGACTTGCACGTAGTTCACATTCTGGAGCTTGCTAGTTTGGCAGTTTCAGTTTTGCAAGATGCTATGTCCACATATGCCTTCCAAGACGGTCGCACAGCTTGTTTCTTGCACTGACCTAAGCAATCACCTCTTCATCGAAATAGGCTTTACATCATTGGCCCGTACCTTTGGGGCCACAACCAGTGGGTGTCGTGCATACTGTACACAGTAACCCTTGTCTTGATGTCAGGCAGAACTGCTTGATGGCCATCAACTTCCTGGTGTCGCTCTTGAAGAAGAACTGGAACAACGTGAAGTGTGGGGCCCCGCGGAGGGCCCCCCCGCCGCCCTGGCGTGGGCTCCCCGAGTCCAATGAAGGTGGTCGAACTTGGCGTTGGTTTTTGGAGCGACAAAAGACGATGAGGTGAACCGATTGAAGTGGCGGTATCCGGTTCAACCCCCAAGTTGAACTGGTGGAAGCTACCCAGCTACCCTGGAGAGGAGTCTTGAAGAAGGTACGCAACGAGGAGGAAGAAGAGAGCACCTGACCATCCATCAACGGATTCTCCCGGTGTTCGAGAAATTCCAGGACTCTTGAAGCATCTTCCCAACTCTCGACCACTCAGGCGGCTGCACATCAAGAGCACCATGGGGTCCAGCCCTTATTCTGGGTGGCTTCTTTGCAGCAGAGTGGCAAACCCCGAAGACCTGGCTACTAAGGAAGCCATTTACCATCTACGGGTGAGCCACGATGCTTGTACAGAGACCAATCCTGCCTTCGCTGTCAACAAGAGTGACCGGATTTGCTTCTGCGACGGATTCGCACGGCGACCTGTCACTTTTTGGTCGACGACTCAACGCACATGCACGGCACATGCACGGCTTCCCAGTCTGCGCTAGGGTGGGATGGTATGCAAAGGTCATCAAGGGTATACCAGCTGCTTCCGTTCGGGGTTACCAATGGACAACCCTACACTGCTTATAGGTCACCAGACAGGACACCCATTGAAAGCACTAGGTAGATATCTGGGTTTGCCTTACCCGAGAGCGCCACAGGAAGCCCAATGGGGTCCGACACGTGTTGTGGCTCTGAGCCCCGGAAGAGTCGGAGGTACAGAGCCCCAGAAGGAAGGGTCGATGCATCATCATACGGCCATGTGGTCCCTCACACCGTCATGTGGTCGATTCCAGAAATCCATTGTCATAGACGAGGAACATCAGTTGATAATTCTTGTAGGCTGTGACTTTCTTCAGCATAGCGGTAACCCCTCAGCACTTGACTATCTCTCATTGACAGCTTGGTTGAACGCACCATGGCCACAGCATAGCTGGATGAGTACGGAGGCGTTCATCTCAGATGGGGCTTGCCCGGACAGGATGGGTGGACAGAAAGACAGGATTTGTTGAAGGAGAAAACTGGAGTTTGGGGAAGTTTGGGGAGTTTTTGAGCAAGAAAACGGGAGTTTGCAGTTTCTATTTCACTTCCATGATTGGTTCCCACTCCAAGCAATTTGGCACTGGTCACCAAATCGTGTATGCGAGGGACTAGCAACACCAGGTAGTTTGCTGATTGAAAGAACTCGACCGACAATCATTCAACAGATTAGACGTGGGAAAGTTGGCTCCATCATTTGTTCGTGAAGTGGAGACTTAGATCATTGTGATCGTTGAACAAAGGCGACCATTGGCCCCAAGTATATATGTGCTGACGAAAGAATTGCGGAACAATGCTGCACGTGACCAATGAGAAAAGGGTTCCGATGAATGACATTCTATTGGATGAATGCGAGTGGCCACAGTGAATAGCTTTGCTCTTGAATCCGATTCCATTTTCAAGTTCTGTCTTTGTTTTACACCCTGACAGCCTCGAATTCTGTTTTCACTTTGATAGAGCCAGCTTCTCATCTTTTGCTGGGTGAAACTCACAGTAGCGGGCGGAGTGAGATTCAAACTCGCTCAGTGTATCGGCAGAGGAAGAAACCAAGGGCTATGTGAGTTACCAGTGTTGCATTCAGGTAACAGAGAGATGATCACCAACCAAAGCAACTATCTCCGCAGGGCAAGACCATGGTGAGCGGCTCCAAACGGAGGGAGTGACTTGGCGAGTTGGAGAGACTGATCGACTTGTTTGATGGCGCTAGATCAGGCTTGATGGGGCCATTCAGTTTTTGGGGATGATGCGGATGATTAACAAGATATACATTTTGCTTGAGCCCTTCAGCACGATGTCCGTGAACGCTCTCGTCTGGAAGAAGTGCTTCAAAAGCTCCACCAAGTGAGGTTGGCAGACCGTACACTGAGTTACAGCCAGGGCTGCCTTTTGTTGTACCCTGTGTGCAGTTCCCTGAATCTCCAATACACGCGACTATATGGATTCGTGATATTCTGGACCAAAGACCCAAAAGTGAGCCACCAATCCCCAGTCCTGACCCCCACAAATGCATGGCGGGCCTCGAACCCTCGTGGAACGCACACCATGAGGTGCTGGGCGGCGCGGGATGCCTTCTTCGCCTGCCTGGACCAGGGAGATGGACAGATGAGCCCCGAGGTGGGACAGCGGAACATGTGCTGTTGGCCCACATGGCAGTGATGTGCAGGGTCCGGGTTCTGGCAGAGTGCCGAATGGAAGCCAGACACATGGACTTACAGCGAGTTCTTTGTTTTGGAGTGCCGATGTAGGCTGAGAAGCGATGCTCAGAAGAATGGCAACAGTTTCAGGCAAAGGACCGAAAGAGTGAGGGTGGCGACGGTGACTCTACGGGACCGGGAGATGGTGCACTCTCAGCTAGGTGGCAAAGCGGCTGCTATGTATGAGATATAGTTAATATATTTATTTATACAGCAATATATGATCTATATATATATATGTGCCCGGCTGAAAAGCGCTGCTAGGGTCAAGAGGTGGGTATACAGTGTAGCGCATATATATATATATATGATGTAGTTTTGGCAACAGTGGGAGTCTTAGAGCAGGACTCCAGATTTTCTTGGACAGCTGATCGAACTCGGATCTTTCGAGCATTGGTGCAAGGTGAAATGATCCGAACTTGAGTTGCAAAGACGGAAGTATTCAGAAGAACAGGACCAAACTTAGCTGCGGAATGGGACTTAAAGAAGTCCCCAAGTAAGGAACATGCAACACAAGGAAGATAATCGATCTATATTGCAACTACTATCATCACATGCAGATGTTCGTCAATTTAAGCTCAAGGCGCTCAAGTAGCTCCTCCCACTTTCAATAGCTGACCATCGGCGCCTCCGGCCAGAAGCGCTGCTTGCCTTCTTGGGTGAAGCACTTCATCATGCAGCGGCCGCTTGCTTGACCAACGCGAGCAGTGACGCACGGCAGGGCACGGCACGGCTTGGCAGGGCACGATGAGCGGGGGACAAGGACTGAGCATCAGACAGTCTTTTTTGGATCTAAGACTCCCTAGTGTAGAAAAGTGATTGAGCGCATCTACTGTACCCTACAAGCCAAGGGTTCAGCAGGGCTTCTCTATTCTGGAGAAGGGATTACTAGGCTTTCCGTCCTATCATTCCCTCGTTGAATGCAGGTAGACACTATTATGCTTCGACCATTTCCCACGCCTGGAGTCAAAACATGTTCACTGGTGCTAGGTGGTAATTCCAAAAGAAAAGTGGATGTCTGGTCAGTTCGGGGTAAGGCATTGCATTAAACGGGCTTTGCGAGGAGCGGTTACCCTAGAAGTGCGTCAAGTACCCGTGTATACCTTTCCTGTGATGGTCCAATCTTGGGATCAACTGTCCTGTTGGACCATTTCACTCAGGACATGAAGACATTCTTGTTGACCCCCCATGTCAATGACCCGGGCGTAAAGCACAAAAACCATCTCAGGAGAAACAACCAAATCCGGTTCCAGTGTGCCGCTGGTTCACGCGGTCGGTCGAACCATTCCAGGTCGCTTGGCCAACCTCCGCCACCACAGTGAGGTTTCAGCGCACGCTGGGGCTTAGCACCGAAATAGATTGCTGGTGGCGATAGAACAGGTCTCTGTGGTGTATAGACTGGTCTCTTGAACTTCATGTAATCTAAGACAGTTGTTCCCATGCTATGTCAAAAGTGGAAGTTAGCTGGTTGATGAGAGCCATCCCAAGCTGACAAGGTATCCCCAATCTCAAGGATGGTTGCACTGCTAGCTAGCAAAGCTGGCCAGTGGCCAGCTGTTGTGGAAGGTATCCTCACCCCATGCCTAGCCCAATTCAAAGCAAGCTCCTTGAACAAGGAAATGGGTCAAAGCCCCAGCACCCTACTTGACCCCCGAAGATTGCATGCGTTTGGACGTTCAGGCTTTGACCAACACTCCCAGTCCAAGCCGCAGCACGTGAAGCCGCCTTCCAAGCGCTGCCAGAGACCTGGAATTCGTCCGAGAGCGCTTCCAGCGCGGCTGTACATAGCGTGTGTGTTTCATCGAGAGCGACCGGGGTTCGCCGGTTCTGTGTGATTCGATGGAGAGAAATTGGGACTTCTCGCTGCCTGTTGGGGTCGAGTCCCTGGCAAGACTTCCACAAGACTTCCTGTGATTGTCCTCGGTCCAGACTGCATCGAAGTGGAACATAGTCGATCTTTTGGCATCGTTTCCTCCAAATGGTATTGTTTCCACATAGGGAGACCTCCCAAAGACGGATCTGAAGAGAAACATGGGGCTATCTAGTGAGTGGCTAGCTGAAGGGGCTATCTAGTTTGAAACAGAAGCTGATTTATCCACAAAATCATGGATGGATTCATCCTGAATTCATCCACCACTTTTGGACTTGACTCCTGCATCAGATGATACCCAGAGTCACCCCTTGCCTCCCCTCGTCTTTGTTTCTGGCGCCGTGCGTCCGGAGCTTGTGCGGGCCCAAGTGAACTCATGCGCATGCGGACAGAGGATTAGGACCGCATGAGGATCTGAATATTGGTACATTCTTTGGCAGGATGCCAAAGGCCCAGAAGGTGAGGGCCGGTGAGGGGCCAGTGGTTGAAGGCCCGAAGCTCTCGGAATCCCAAAGCCTATGATTTGTTTATGATTTCGACCGCCAACGACAACGATAAGAACTCACTGCCAAGATCCATGGAGCCTTGAGTGAGTGCTGCTATGCATTTCCGCAGATTCAGGGTTGTAGGGCTGTTGGTTGTATTCTGCTGCTTTTGGTTTCTTTCTTTCTTTAAGTTGGCAGCGCAGAGGTTGTACTGTGATGAATTGATGATGAAAGCCATGGCACCATCATGGCACCTGGCCAACTAGGGGGACCTTGTCCTTTAAGCTACCAGTCAGATCAGTAGCTTCCAGGGCCTTTTTGAAGCATGCCGCTTTGAGCCAGCGACTGGCCGCGTGGCGAGAGGACGGACATGTCGTGTATCAACCCCCCCATTGGAATTGTAAAGCGCCCCAATTGGAAGGTTGATGAATCAAACCCAGGCCCGTATTGATCATGTAGCGCGAGAGGTAGAAGAGGTTTTTCAAGGTCTCTTCATCCTCCCAGCGCTTTTGGACGAGGGTTTTTGCGTCCTTCCACTGTGGACTCTCATGGTCGCACTCAGTGACCTCTTCATAGTGAGGGGCTTCTTCATCAAGAGTCATTTCACTGATGATCTTCATGATGATCTTCAGATTCTTCATAGTGAGGGCCTTTTCATTATAATCTTTTCATTTGCTTTCACTCCTTGGAGCAGCTCGCTCCAAGCTCGCAAGTCCGACCCGTCACCGTATGTTTTTCGGTGCGTGCATGCCACAGAATCGAAAAGGGGAAGGGGCTTTCCCCAAGCGGAACGGGCACTCCAGGTGCACTCCAGCTGGGCGGTCAGTGGGTTTCTTGACCTGAGCAATGCAGCTTTTTGCAGGAGGTGTTGTAGGTGTGCTGCCAGGCTTCAGAG